CCTTGTCTCTCATTATCCTTAATGAAAACTCTTGTAGGCAACTCTCTACCACTTCTAAGAGTGATAGTTTTCATTGTCTCCTTGGGTTTTGTTCAGATTTCCCAAGAAGTGATCGTTGTTGTCTATTAGAGTGAGAACTCATGGAGGAAAACTGATTGTCTAGAGCCTTGAACTTGTTGTTGAGCTCATTTTAGCTCCCATCAATCTTTGAGTGTAAGTTCTTCAACTCATACCCCCACATGCTTCTTACTTCTAGTTTGAGACTCCAAGATTTGCTTCAACATAGCCTCATTACCACTCTCTTGTGGAGAAAAAGTGGAAGATCCAGCTAGGTTATGTGTAGACTGGTTCCCTTTGGAGGAGTAGCCTTGAGGGTAGTTTTGCTGTCTCTGATAACCACCTTGTTGGTTGTTGGAGTAGGATCTTTGCTTGTAGTTGTTGTACTGAAAGTTAGGCTCCTTGTACCATGTCCCATTAGCATTGACAAAGCATAACTCCTCTTGTCTTTCTATACTATCAACCTCATTAACTACAGCATTCTTCTCTTGGTTCTGCTCACCAACAAAGTTAACCTTCTCTTGTTTAGCTCCAGTTGAGATGAACATATCAATCTTGTCTTGTAAGGATTTCAACTCTTTCTTAGTGTTCTGATCTTCACTTACACTGCCTCTGTTTCTCCTATCATGATCATCATTGTAGACTGAATTACTCCTAGCCATGTTCTCTAAAAGCTCCAAAGCTTCTTCTTCAGTTCTTCCCAAGAAGGATCCATTGCTAGCAGTGTCAAGTTGGCTTCTATACTTAGATAAAACTCCTCTATAAAAATTACTAAGAAAACTCTCCATATTGAAGCCATGATGAGGACATTGAGAAATGTAGCTTTTGAACCTTTCCCATGCTTCTCCAAAGTTCTCAAAATTCTTTTGAGTGAATCTAGAGAACTCATTCCTTAGCTTGCCAGTTCTTGATGTAGAGAAGAACTTGGTAAGTAAAGCTTTCTTACAGTCATCCCAAGTAGTTATAGAATCCCTTGAAAGACTCTTCTCCCAAGTGTGGGTTTTGTCTCCCAAAGAAAATGGGAACAACCTCAGCGTGAATGCATCTTCAGAGACTCCATTGATCTTGGTTGTTCCACACAGCTTGTCAAAGTTATCCAAATGATCTAGTGGATCTTCCAAGGCAAGACCATGGTACTTGTTTTGTTGGATCATGTTGATCAAGCTGGACTTGATCTCTAAGTTATTATTCTCCACAGCTAGAGCTCGGATACCAGTTTTATGACCTAGTATGTTGGGTTGATCATGAGTGCCTATGGTCCTTGCTTGGTGATGTGGGTGTTGTGGCCTAAGGTTGGCAGCTCCTTTGCCATCTACAGCCCCCTCTTGAGGCAAGTTCTGATTTCTATCCATCACTAACCCCAATCTTTCTAAGTGAGCATGTTTCTCTTCTTCTCTTCTCCTTCTTGATATCTCCCTCTCAAGTGCAGCTATATCTTCAACTCTTGGGAATAGGCTTGATGAACCTTTGCTCCTCAAGTGCATACACTTGAAATGCAAAGGAAAATGAAGAAGGAGAATCAGTAACAAAATAAAAGAAAAATGACTTAGTCTCAAGCAAGTGACTAAATCTCAATGTCACAATCAACTTAGAATTTGGCAACGACCCCAGTTTGATATTAATACTTTTCAAGGGTCCTAATCAAATGTTGTAATATAAACGATGTCAAACCAGTTCTAAGTGATTCTAAATCAAAGGGAAATACAAGACCATGTTTAATCTAAGTGCTATCAATTGGTGACATGATTTTTTTAAGTAAGAAACTACTAATAAAGGAATAAAGATCAAAGCTTTCTTTCTAAATGAGATGAAAGAACTTATGGGACAAGGGAATTGATCTTGGGTGATCAAGTTTGAATCTAAAGGTGGAAGCTTTTCAATCTATCTATCAACCTTAAGCATAGACTCCATCCTAAACAAAGTCTATCTCTAGATGAGTGTTCATTTGAAAAGATAACTCAAGCATCTAATCTTTTAGGTTGAATATTATCTAAGAAATCATTAAAATCCAGTCTACTAGCCATCTTAACACCTTTAACAATAGATCTCTTTGGTAAAGAATGTTAAAAGCATTGGAGAGTTGGTTCAGGCATTATATTATACACCTTCCGAGCATGAAATATCTAAAGCTCTATTCTAAATGGGCCAACTCTAAAATACCATTAAATTTACTCTACAAGCAAGGAACAAGATGAATCTATAGTTAATCACCATTTGATCTCCCTAACCCATGAATCCTAAGATGACTACTCACTAATCACCATGATTACATTTAAGCCCATGAGGAATTTAAGGTTAATCATGATTAGAAAGCAATAAGATCACTCAAAAACACAAGAAATAAGATGAAACTTAGATTAAAGGAATAAACTTTTACCAAAATGTCAAGTGTTTAGGAGAAAAAAATAAGATAACATCCCTCAGTAGGGTTCTTTGAGTATTTATACTAATCCCAAAACAAGTAGGGTAAAAAACTGGAAAATAAAATGTCTTCGTTAATAGCGACATGGTCATCCTACTACGCTCTGGTTGCTAAGGTTTGATCACATCTGCAGGGTTTGTAGTGACCAACACAAGTCGCTACAGAAGTCGCTATGATGACTCGTAGGAGTTCATAGCGACCTGATGAAGTCGCTACGCTGGGGTCGCTATGATACTTGGTCAGATTTGAGCTTCGGTCTTGGAAATCTGTAGTGACACCTCCACATCGTTATGGTGGTTGCTACAATAACTCGTGCAAGTCCACAGCGACTTAGTGAAGTCGCCATGCCCGGGTCGCTATGGTACTTGATCAGTTTCGAGAGTTTGGCTCTTCATTTTCGCTAGTCGCTACGGAAACTCGCGAGTGTTCCTAGCGATTTAGGCAAGTCGCTACGGTACTTAGGCTGGTGATGTGAAACGAGCACAAATCTCCCATGTTGACTCCAAAACAGTTTCTATGTCTTCAAAATCACCAAAAAGGATCTCCAACACTTGATTTAGACAAAAGTAATGCAATTCAACCTAAATGCACTCTAAATGTATCTAAAATCTCAAAATGAAAGCTTCCTATGAAGCTTAAAATCATGCAAATGCACAAGATATCACTGTGTTTCAATTTAACGGGTCTATGTTCATAAAAACGATTTTGTTAACGAAATGTTAATGATATTAACAGTTTAATAGTTGAGGATTTAAAAACATAAAATTTTAGTTGAAGATTTTTTTATCCGGTCTGTAGAAATAGTTAAGACTTAAATTACTAAGAACCCGAAATATGACAATGTCAAAGCCCAAAGTGAAAATAAAACATTTTTGAGAAGAAAATCCGTAGCAAAGTCAGACATGAAAAAAATTTAATTATATACTTATTAGATGAAATAGACAAACAAAGTACGGGGCTATCCGTTTCTCCACATGTCATCTCCTTCCAGCTGCTTCATCTATGTGATCCATCCGGATAATCAATCTAAATTTTAGGGATGTTCATTTCTCCATCTAGATGAGCTATCTGGATAGATTTTATGTTCTTTTTTTTTCTATTTCCATAAGTTTAATAAAAAATTACAAATATACCTTTATTTTGATTTAATTATACGTATGATAGTAATTTTAACTATATTAATTTTTATTATTTATTCTAAAATATATATACACTGAAAATTATCTTAAAATTAGCATTTTAACATTTTGGAATTTTTGCTTTTGACGATAAAACGAGTTTTTGTAGTTTTGGCGGGAAAACGTGTCTTGCGGGTTTTGCGGTAAAACACGTTTTGACGGTTTTGGCGGGAAAACGTGATTTTGTAGTTTTGGCGGAAAATGTGTTTTTACATTTTTAGCGATAAAACACGGTTTGCGAGAAAATATATTTTAGCGAGAAATGCGTTTTTACGGGTTTGACGGAAAAACATGTTTTGACAGGAAAACATGTTTTTTGTTTTGGCGGGAAAACGCATTTTCTGATTAGATGGAAAAATACATTGTTAATTTTGGTGGGAAAACGCATTTTCGGAATTGACAAAAAACACATTTTGGTGCGAAAATGTGTTTTTCGGTTTTGGCGAGAAAACACGTTTTGATGGGAAACACGTTTAATTGTTTTAGCGACCAAGACGTGTTTTTATGGTTTTGGTGAAAAACTACTTTTTTGTTTTTGCGGGAAAATGTTCTTTTTTGGTTTCGGCGGGAAATATGTTTTACGGTTTTGGCAGAAAAAATGTTTTTTGATTTTGGCGGAAAAGCGCATTTTCGGTTTTGACAGAAAACATGTTTTCGGTTTTGGTGGAAAAACAAAAACACGTTATGATGAGAAACACATTTTATTTTTTTTAGCGTGAAAACGCGTTTTATGGTTTTGGCGTTAAAAACATATTTTAGGTTTTTGCGTGAAAATGTTTTTTTTGGTTTTAGCGAGAAAACATGTTTTATAGTTTGGAAAAAAACACGGTTTTCGGTTTTGGCAAGAAAATGTGTTTTTCGCTTTTGACGGGAAAACACTTTTTTGGTTTTTGTGGAAAAATGTGTTTTTGGTTTTGGCGGGAAAACATGTTTTTTGGTTTTGGTGAAAAACGTGTTTTTCAATTTCACGGGAAATTACGCTTTTTCATTTTTTTTTTCATTTTTTATGAGTGACAAAATGATATTAAACTTAAGTTTGTAATTTGTAAATTGTTATAGATATAATAGACTTTGTACCATTTTGAGAAATTGATTTTAAAAATTATGCCTAAATTTTTAGATTCATTTCAATAAGTCATCGAGATGATTTGTACTTTTAATGTCTAAACGAACAAAAACTTAAATCGGATACTCATAAGATAAAATAAAGTATGTACTCAGGACTCAAAACATAAAAACTGATCATTTTGAACAATGTGAAAAGTTAACTACCTTACTTTATCTCTGTGGACAGAGAGTTCTCATTTTGGTTAGCAGAATGTTAACATAGTTTTGATGATGAAGAAAAAAGATACTTATATTGTCAACTAAATTTTTACATTTTGAAACAGTGAATATATCGTATAGTCTTTCCGTGAAAATACCACAAGAATAGAAAACACAAAAGAGTCAAAAAGTCTGACGTCAGGTAAAATAAAATTGAAACGGTGGAATTCACAATGGTTGATGTTTTACTTACACCTAACCCTCGTTGAGGTCCAGAGTCTCTCAAAACGAACTCGCCGTAGTATTCGAACTACTCGTCTCTTTCTCAGTCACCGGCGATAACGGCGGCGGAACACCGTGCCTTAGCAACACAACGTCATCTCCTCCCCTCACATCAATCTCCACCACCTCCGGAAAATCTCGCATCCCTTCCTTCTGAATCCCTTTCAACACCTCGACTATCTCATCCATCGACGGCCGGACTTCCCTCTCCTGTTGCAAACACCGGAACGCCAGCTCAGCAACCGACATCATCATCCTCTTCACCGCAGGGTCCCTCGCGAACCCGAGAGTCAGGTCGACCAGCTCGTCAACGGCGTCGTTTTGGATTTTGGAGATGGCCATGTTCGCGAGGTTGATATCGTGGCGATGCCGACTGATATCGACTGCTTCTTTGGATGAGATCAGCTCAGAGAGGACGACTCCGAAGCTGTAAACGTCGCTCTTCTCGTTGAGACGGTAACATTGGTAATACTCGGGATCAACATATCCCGGAGTTCCTTGCGGGGCGGTGGAGATATGAGTTTGATTCGTCGGAAACAACCGGGAGAGACCAAAGTCAGCTACTTTCACTTGGTAGTTGCTATCTAGAAGAATGTTTGTAGTCTTCACATCTCTGTGTATGATTCCTGAAAGAATGTTATTACGGACCAGGTCAACATTTTTAGTTGAAGAAATTTTTGAGAAGCTTAATATTTCTATTTCTAAAAAAGTTTGCTGAATTTCTTCTTTTTTTTTTTCAATATAAACATGAATAATGAATAATATTCTTATACATTATAATGAAACAAATTATATACCTAAAAGGATATTGAGAAAATTCCTATAACATACCTAAAATTTTTTTTATCACAAATATAGATATTAAAAATAAAAATGACTAAAATAGATTTAAATGTTTTATCAAAAATAAGTAAAATATACACTTATACCTTTTGAGCTAACTGATTCTATACATTTTTGTTTACAATTGAGGAGTGAGATTTTTCCGTTTTGGGGATATGATTTCAAATTTTAAAAAACTTTAAAAAATTAAGATTTTCAAAATAAAAAATGCTATTTTGGTCATTTTAGTTTTTAAGGTCTATTTTTGTGAGAAAATCTTAAAGATGTCTATTTGAGAAAATTAAAGATATTTGTTGTAAATTTTCTACTAAGCCTAATTTTTTCATTCAATAAAAAACACACAACTACAAATATAAATGGAATGAAAATAGTATAATAATGGTTAATGAAATTATAAAACAATGTACAAATGTTATACTATATATAGGAGTTCTTAATCTAATATTTTAATTTTTAGTATTAAAAAAACAATTAGATTTCAAAATCCTATACATAGTAGAACCTCTTTAAATTAATACTCGATAAATTAATAATCTGTATAAATTAATAAATTTTGTCGGTCCTAACTTGGACTGATTTTAAATTTGACATAAATCGATAAAATAATAAGATAATATTTTTAGAAAATTCTATGTAAATATATGGTCCCATTAAAATTATAAATTAATAACATATGTATACATATTTATATACATAAGAATATATCAATAAGAATATATCAATATATTATTTGTTTTATTTTCACAATAGAATTATCTTTATATTTTCTTAACACTTATGATATTTTTGATGAAATTTGATAATATTATGTCTAAACCACATTTATATTATATGCAATATATATTATATACACAGAATAATATAATAAAATTGACATAAATGTCAAACTTTTAAAAAATAATAATTAGTGTGTATACACTAAAATCATATATTTTCTTATTTTTAGAAAATTATATTTTAAAATAAAAAAATCTAATTAAGGAAAATTTTGTAAATTAATATCTCTATGAATTAATAAATTTCTAAAGTTTCAACATTATTAACTTATAGACATTTTACTGTATTGTATAATATTTGTAGATTATTTTATAATTGCACAAAAAAGTTGGTTTTCATTTTTTGACCAGAAAAGGAGAAATTGGTTTTTGTTAAGGCTTTGGGTGGTCGCACTCATCAATTTTTTTCAGGAATCTCATGTGTTCACGTTTGTTTGTTCAATTTGTGTGTTACCTGAGGCATGGAGAAAGGACAATGCACTAGCGGTTTGAATGGCGATGTTGAGTCTTGCAGGCCAGCAAATAGGACGAGACTGTGCTTGGTCTCCATGGAGATGATCAGCGAGTGTGCCATTAGAAATGTATTCATACACTAAGAGTAGCTCTCTGCTATGTCTTGTCGTGCATCCATATAGAATCACTAGGTTCGGGTGTTTCAAGGACTTCAAGATATCGATCTCGTTCTTGAACTGCTCCACTCGTTTTAGTGATCTCTCGAAGAGTCGTTTTACAGCTACTGCTCGTCCGTCCTTTAGTATGCCTTCATAAATTTTGCGTAAGCTTTCAAAAAGCCAGATTGGAGCTTTATTTGGTAATGTGATTAGAGTTTTGTGCTTACCATAGTAGACAGTACCGAATCCTCCATCTCCAAGCTCTCTAGAGAAATTTGCAGTGGCTTCCTCGAGTTCTTCATAGCTGAAGACTTGAACTCCGAAGTAGACGCTTGCATTTGCAAGGTTGGAGATTGACGGCATGAGAGAGTGGTTGCTTCCGGAAATTGTTGTGGAAGTTAGAGTGGTGGACATTGTGTTATTGCTTGAAAACGGAGATGTTCTTGAAAGGCCTTTGCTTATGTTTTGAGCTGCCAGTTTCTTTCTTCTCCGGATGAAACAGAGTACAGCTCCTGCTAAAAGAGTGGCACCCAAGAAACCACCAGCGAATCCTATTCCTAGAGACGAACAAAATCCTATGCTGCTTCCAAGGTATTTAAAAAAAAAAATAGATACCTCGAAAGTAAAAGAATAGACACCTACCTAGTTTCTTTGCTGTTGTGTTTTCTGCATCAACAAATAACATGAGAAATATGTTAGTTTAAACTCCCGACAGAACGCAGAACCATAGTATATAAAATGAGGTTCGAAACTCAAGGGAGTTTCTCCGAGTGGTCACCGAAAAGGAAAGTAATAAACCATATTCATGTTTGCTAAACGAGTTTGTTCCAGTGAAAAGGTAAGGTAAGGTTAGTAGGTGGGGTAGTATGCAAAAGGCCTGGGAGCTTATAACCAAACAAAAATCCAATTGAAATCCAAACCGAAAATCTAGATCTTATGGAAACCCTAATAATTAAAAATAACCGAACAGGCATACAAGCTACGTACTTTCGGTAAGAATACGAACCCAACCAAAATCAAATCAGGATCCAAAAATATCTGTAATAAATCTATTAGTTTTTTTTACACATCTTAAGATAATTTAAACAGTTGAAAATATTTAGAGATCTTTTGTAGTATAGGTAGTTCGACTTGTTTTGATTTTTTTTAAATAGTTAGTTTACGTAGTTTAGATAGTTTTTAATTAAAAAATTTTGAACAATATATTGAATACTTTATTGTCAATTTCATTAAGCTTTTTATATTAGAAGAAAAGATTTTTCTCAAATTAGTCAACCAAATCGGAACGAAACTCAAAAGAAGCCGAATTTAATGAGACTTATCCAAAAATCTGAATTAACTGACAGAACGGAAAGGAACACCCAGCACCCATACCTAGTATGATGTGGTTGAGGAAGGGATAGGATCTAGATCTTGTGGAAGATAATTAGCACATTACTTTCAAACTGAACTAAGATTCATATTATTAACTGAAATAGCTAATTTAGATGCTTTGAAAAGGAAAGAATGGTCACCTCTTTTTTTCTTTGCCTCACTGAGTTCTGCATCAACATATATCATGAAAAATGTGTTAGTTCAAACTCAAGACAGAACTTAGAAGCATATTTAAAACGAAGCTTGAAACTCAAGGGAGTTTTTCTCAATATGGTGACCATAAAAAGAACGTAATAAATCATATTCATGTCAGCAAGGGAGTTCCAGTGAAAGGGTAAGGTTGATAGTTGGGGTAGCATGCAGTGGTTAAAAGATGAGAAGTGGATCTTGTGGAAGAAGATTAGCACATTAGTTTCAAACAGAACTAAGATTCAGAATAACTGAAATAGACACCTACCTGGTTTTCAAGTTTTGTAGTGACCTGCATGAACAAACACCGTGAGAAAAAAAAGGCCATTTTAAACTCAATACAGATCTTCTCAGAAAGGGAACAGATTGGTTAATCAGATCTAGGGCCGGCCCTGAGATTTTGGGGGCCTGTGGTGATTTCTATATAAAAAAAATTTTTGGGGGCCTAAAAAATTTTTTGGGGGTCTATACTCATGTAATTTTCTACAAAATTTTTGGGGGCCTGAAACAAATGTTTTACTAGACATTGTCCAGGGCCGGCCCTGAATTCAGATCTAGATATGAAGATAGATTCAGGTCAACTTAGGTTAAGTAAAGTATTTCAGTGAAACAGAGAAAGATATATCATTACTCGTCTTTGGTATCTCAGGATGGCAAGTATGTTCGTGAGGCCCATCCCCACAATAGCAAACGAATGCTCTCGAGCTATCATTATAACCACAAGAACCCTTCGATTCTGCGCATTCTGAACATTCACGGTTAAACATAACCTCGAAACCCACATTAAGAGCCATCTTTATAGCCTCGAGAGTCGGATTTCCATCATGTATCCTCAAGGCAGATCGAGAAACTGGAATACTGACATTTCTTTGACACGATGCGCTTGACTTTTCTAAGATAGCTCTATCCCAGGAAGGTGAAGCGGACGAGACAAAGTAACTATGCCTACCAATATAATCCCAACAGTCTAGCTTTCTAATGTGAAAACCGGGAGGAACATTTAGAACTGGATCGGAGCAGTTGTAAAAAAGTATTGACGGCATAGTGTCGGGAGAAAATGGAAGGATTTCGTGATTGATTGTTGCATTCTTAGGGTCTCGGGGACAAATATTGTTGTGATAATCCTTCATAGCAAGTCTTGTGCCGTTGAACTTGATCTCAAGGATTTGGAACTTAACGGTGGATATACTAAACTCTGCAAAATCACCGCTGCAGTCGAGCTTGAAATCCGGGTGGCCGCACTCTTTTCTCCCAGGTATCCAAAAGGGATAACCGAGTTCTCTCTGATTGGCACATTCAAATAATGGAGCGCATTTTTTGTGATTCTCATCAGCTGACAGAACAAATGAGGCTATCACAAAGAGCATCCATATTGTTGCATAGGACCAAGATTTTGTTAGAGACTGATAAAGATTTATCATGCTACTCTCCTCTGTTTTTTTAATTAGAGATGAAGAGGAGGTCGAAGAATAAGTAGTAGAAGTAGAAGATGAATAGGAACACTGTTTTTGTCTAAGTCTTGGTTTCTTTATATGTATTCTTTATCTGGAAATGTATTTCCAAAGGGAAATTTCTTTGTGAGTAGGTGTGTTTAGGATGACTTTGTCTTCGAATGGACTGGGGGCAGTCAGGATATTATATTATTTAAAAGGTTTCATTTTGAATGGTTGCCATTAATATATTAGTTTTTATTAATATTAATTTTTTTTGTTTTCTTGTAAGACGACCTAAAACGTAAGTGGGCGAACTAAGCCGGGCCGGCTTAGGTACAAAAAATTTACTAAGAAAAGTCAGGCAGCGTAGAAATGGGGCTCGAAAAAGAAAGAAAAGTGGGACAAGACTATGACTCTTTAGCATTTACCGAAACTGAACTGAACGATGTCTCTGAAGTAGAAGTCCATGCGTTGACAATGACTTGGTGGGAATCGTGTATGCGAAGTTACTAGAGACATATCTAGAATTTTTAGACCAATCAAGTTTCTATCTTCTATCTGGGGAGCGCACTAGGAAGTAAGGTATGTCTTAACACTGCTACAACTAGCATAGGATAGTCGAAAAATATATTTGTGACATGGTGATTAGTATGAGTCGTAATTACTTGTTGTGCAATATAGGGTTTATAGTTGAGTTATGGGTCATAGTCGAACTTAGGAAGCTGAAAATCGACTTATGAGCGAGCTGGTATTTTCTGTTTTAGTCTGGTTGCATCGTTGTGACGCTTCATAAATTTGGCAAGGGGGAGGAGAACTAATATGATATGCATAAAAAACTTGCTAACAGTTCAGAAACATACCAGGTGGAATCATTCGATTGCATATGATCTTTGATGAAGACTTTCTCTTGCAGCAAACAGAAGTGCCAACATTGTAGCCGCAGACTCCACCAGTGGATTTACATTCTTGACACGGTCTTCCATCAATCCTCATTTTCACCTCAAATCCCTTTTTGAGAACACTTTGTAAACGGGTCAAGTTCAGAATTTTCATCTCTGGAGCATAACTTGTGGGAACAGTGATGTTGAAACTCGCAGAACACTTTTTATGATTTTCCTTGCTCCGATGCAATGAGGCAATACCAATCTTTGGACATTTGAAATTTGCGGGGTTGGTAAGATGGGTTTCGCAGAGATAATAAACAAAGAGGGTCGTGTACTCCGGCGAAAGCTGAAAGAGTTCATGAGTCAACGTTGTACCGGTTAATGTAGAATTGCAAAATGATCCAGCTAAAAAGTCTTGCCTCGCAAGCCCAAGGGTGTTAGTTGAGTTGTCTAGGAAAAGGACAGTGTACATCTGACCTGAGAAAATAAAGTAAGTCTTGTTCGAGTTTGAGGAACAGTGAAGCCCCAAAGAAGGATGACCACAAGGTTCTGGTCGAGCCTCTCCCCAGAAAGGAAACCCCGCTGTTATATTCCCACACTGAAACAGGTTATCACAAAACTTAAGGTCGGGTTGACTTAGAGCACAAGGAAGATGGTGACAGGTGAACAAGAAGAATATCAAGATCAGACAAGGATTGGGGTTTGAGAAACCGAAGAGTATTGAAGAGAACATGACTGATTGATTGATATGTGATAAAGTTGTCTTTACTGGGGGTTGGTTTGGTGTGAGCAGAGCAGATAAATGCGTGAACAAAAAGAATAGAAAAAGAATATCAAGTAGATATTAAGAGGCCCTTATGTTAAAAAATTAAAAATTATCAAGCTGGGAAGGACTAAGTCAAGAACGAAAAGGAGAGATATGCACTAGACTTGATAATTTAGTCACACGTTTTTGTTAGTTGACTTGGACTTTTCTTCTTTTCTTTGTCCCCTAACTAAAAGGAAACTAAAAACACTGTCGAGAATCTTTTTGTCGTACAAGAAAAAATAACTACAACGGCAATAGAAATATTGGAAAACGTTTTACAGACCAAATTTATTTGTTATTTCAATTTTTTTATCAGAATACTCGGCTTCAGAATATCAAGCTTATGTGATAGAGTAGCGGAAGCTTTAAGAAGAAGATTACAAGAACTTGTAGGTTTTGTAAATCTCCGGCCTCTGATTCACGTTGATACTCTCGACAAGGATCAAAGAAGGATTTTTCTAGAGTACTCCTCCAAGTGCTGTTAAGTTCTTTAATGTAATTACAGTTTTATTAATTCAAGTGTGTCTCATACAATAGCGTAGGAGCACTATATATAAGAAATCCAAGCTAAGGTTATATTATCCTATTCTTCCGTATATTAGGAGTTATCTATAACTCATAAGTTTAAACGAAAAAGGAATGTAAATAAAACCAAAGCCGAAAAGGAAAGAAGCCTAAGTCAATGTTATGCTGCATCATTATGTTATCTTCCGTAACTATGGATAACAGATGTTTATATCTTTATGTTTGACAAAAAAAAAATGTACTTCCTAGGGTGGAAAATATGGAAGATGAGAAATGGCATTCTCTTCCAACAAAAGAGAGATGATATTATTCACGTAATTCATAGAGAAGTAAGAGAATACAAACTATGGAAAGTTATCAAGGACCTCAAAGAAGTACTGGAAGAAACGTAAAAGATATTCAAGAGGTACTTCCTGCAACTGCACTTTATTACTGTTTAGTTGATGCTTCATGGAAAAATGTAAAAGAGGAAGGAGGTATTGGATGGTCATTATATTGCAAAGAAGGCATTCATTGTCTCCAAGGAGCCTCTTCAGCTCTTCTATAAGGTTCACTTATTCATCCTTACAAGCAGAAGCTGCAGCAATGCAGATGGCAGTAGCAGTACAACAAATGAGGGCACTCGATATGATCGAGTAGCTTTCATCACGGAATGCAAGCTAGCTACTAGTTGAAGAGTTGAAGCAGGGTCTAACCAAAGAAACCCTCAAGACAGTTCGTACCACAGAGGCTTCTCCCATGGGCCATGGTACATGACATATGCGGAATGGCAAGATCCCAAGATTTCTCATATCATTTTGTTCCCAGATCAAATGTAGATGCAATGGCCAAGTTGGCTAGAAAGAGAGAACCAAAATATGTAATCAACTGGCATGCTAAATAATATAAGGTTAATTTTTTTTTAGAAATTGAAAACAATACAAAGATAAATAAAAAATGAAATTTTCACTTTTATTTATAACTAGAGATTGATCCGCGCATCCGCGGGGTATTAATTTTTATATTTTTATAAATTGATATTCGTTTTTTATGATTAGTGTTATATGTTTTAGATATGTCGCCAATAACTAATTGCATACAAAAGAACTGGACTGAATCAGGTAATATGATTATTTTTATTACAAATATCTGAACTCATTTAAGATATATTGGTTATTTAGATATTCTTATATTCATATAAATTAGAATCAAAATCATTCAGACTCGGGGACCCATTTCAAACCTTACACATACATTTATAATATCCAAGCATGTCTAATTTCAAAACCCAAAAAATTGATCTCGAAAGAAACAACTTGTATATGAATGAATGCCGTAATGTCCATATCTACTGATTCGGTAAATTAATTAAAAAAAATAATCTTTCTTTATGTTTAGCTAAATCAAAGGAAATAGAAAGAATTTTTATTTATTACAATAGTTATATGGAATGAAACATTAAGGGACAATAAATGTAAGAAATATTAATTATTTTAATTTAAATTATTATTTTGTTTACATAAACTATCTTTTGAATTATGTGTTTGGCTACATAATTTTTCACTAATTGGAACCAAGCTTCTTAAAACCGGACCGATTCGTTGGTTGGACCAGGTTTGACCATGAACCGATCACGTAACCGGGTTGCATCTAACAACTGGTTCGACCATGAACCGGCTAAGTAATCAGATATATTTATCTCAACATTATTGGATTTAATAAACACTATTAAGACTATCAAAATTCTATAAACCAACCACATGAACAAAAAAGTATCAATTTTGATTATTTATCATATTTACTAACTTTAATTTTAATTTCTATATCTAAAATATATTAAACCATAATATTGAACCAGGATTATCCGATCGAACCATATTGAACCGTGACCCAAACTTCTGGTTCAGCTTCTGGTCCGGTTTTAAAAACACTAATTAGAACTAAGATAAAAGAAAGTTTTAGTAAAACAAATTAAAACAAACTCTTAACCATACGCAAAATTCTGTTATTTTACATTTTTTATTTTTATAATTTGTACAAATTTAATATTGATTAACTAATAAATAAAAATCTGCAATACTACTTTAATGGTATATAATTAATGATTTGATGTATTATTAAAGGTAAATATAATTAATGATGTGAAATATAATTAATGATGTGATGTATTGTTAAGGTAGTATAATTAATGAAATTATTAAAAGAATATTATTATTTTTATATTGTTATCCATGTTTCCAAACAATTCTCATTTAAACTACTATTTTTCAAACAACTCTCAAATATACTTCAATTTTAATAATATAGATAATTAATGATTTGATGTATTATTAAAGTTAAATATAATTAATGATGTGAAATATAATTAATGATGTGATGTATTGTTAAGGTAATATAATTAATGAAATTATTAAAATAATATTATTTTATTTTTATATTGTTATCCATGTTTCCAAACAATTCTCATTTAAACTACTATCCATGTTTTCAAACAACTCTCAAATGTACTTCAACTTTAATAATAAAGATTTTATTTTTATATTGTTATCCATGTTTCCAAACAATTCTCATTTAAACTACTATCCATGTTTTCAAACAACTCTCAAATGTACTTCAACTTTAATAATAAAGATTATTTAAAAAAAAATGTGTACATCCTCTGAAAGAAAATATAATCGATAAAAAGGAAAACAAGAGAGATAAACCTCTGATTTTTATATCATGTGTTGTTTTACAACGAAAGATCTAGTATTTTTTTACTGTATAATCCACAGATATTATTTTTGGATGTATTCTATATAATTTAGTTTTATATGATTTCGATTTTATCCGATTCGATTTTATGTTTAAAAAACAATATCAAAACTGTCTTTTCTATTAATAGTGTTAAACAGTGTATTATGTATATGTGTAACCATGCAATGAAAACACTAATTTTGTACGTTTTTTCAAAGTGCAAAATCAAATTCAAAACTAACTATCTGTATTAAAAAAATTTGAGAGTTTAGTTACTTTTGATGTTAATAATTATCCAATATTTTTGAAATAATATACAAATTTATAGAATTTTGGCCCTTGAATTTTATTTTATAGGTTATGTCAAATTCAAACTTAACTTTGGTCTTAACTTTCCAAGCGCATAATATTTTTTGATGAAAAATTTCATAAATAACTTAACAAATATTTTGGTAATTTGAATGAATTTATGTATTTAAAATATTTTGCATTTAAATCAGTATTTTTAAATTCAACCCGACTCGTGGTTAAACCGGTAATCTGATTCAACTTTGATTTTTAAAAATATTTATATTTAAAAATCACTAAAACCCCAGATTAACCGATTAAATCAATGGATAACTGATATGTAACATTTAAACATGTATAAGTTTATTTTCTTTTTTATATTTTATTTAAATTTTTATTTTTATCTAAATAATTTGAAAGAAATTTGTGAGAAATTATTAAAAAGAGTGAGATTTCATATTTTGTATTGTTTGGACATAAGATTAGTTTTAGTGGTGCTTGGAAACATGTATAGTAGTATAAAGAAATGAGTATATTGTTATTGTTTGGAAACATGGTTAGTAGTATAAGGCAATAGATATATTGTTTAGAAACATGGATAATAATATAAAGAAAAATATATTATAATTTAATGTAAGTTTAACTAAAAGTAAAAAGATGTATTTAATTTTAAAAACTAATAAAGTAAATATTAACTAGGTAATAACCCGCGCCTTGCGCGGAATGAGATTATTACTTTTATTACTTTTATGATAAAATGATATTATGTCTGTTTAGCATGAATATTAGTTTAGTTTTGACGTTTTTTTAATCTCCTAAATTATAACTATCATTCTAAATCTATATTTATTTTGGTTTGTTTGGTGTAAATGTTTGATGTTTTTGATTTTTTTCGATGATAACCAAAACTATTGTTATTTGTTTGGTTTCGTTTTATATAAATTTTAGATATTTTTGATGTCGAACTAATANTTTAGCATGAATATTAGTTTAGTTTTGACGTTTTTTTAATCTCCTAAATTATAACTATCATTCTAAATCTATATTTATTTTGGTTTGTTTGGTGTAAATGTTTGATGTTTTTGATTTTTTTCGATGATAACCAAAACTATTGTTATTTGTTTGGTTTCGTTTTATATAAATTTTAGATATTTTTGATGTCGAACTAATAGTTTCCTATTATAATTTCTAAAGACATGTAAAATCAAATAAAATCTAAATAATATTTGAAAAAAAAATTATTAACATAAAACATTTCACTAAAATTTGAGCGATATTAAAAGAAAACATAAAAAAAAAATCAACTTCAATATGAATTAAAATTCTCACTTGTGGTGAATATTTAGTTATATAGTCGCTCATGTTAATGTTTACATGTATGTATATGTAAAAGTATATA